TCGTTAATTGTATAGAAACGTACAAACTATTTCACAATGTCGCTTTTCACATTCTCTCTAGCTTCCTTCTTAAAATAAATCTAAGATCATACGATGTGTGGTAGTGACTGATGCAAGCACACATAACACTTTTGTAATGTGCGCATGTGGCGTACACTCGTATGTAGGTGAGCGGTAATGTCCATACGGGCTGATGCCATATTTAGGAGCGTGTAGATCATCTGGTCAAGGCGCCAACATCGAGGGCCGGCCTTGCGTGGCCATCCGCTTGACGCTGCATTGTACTTGGTTTAATTAATGGTGTAGCTTTGAAAACAAATGTCATTCTGGTCAGTTGAAGATTTATGCTTTTCTCAATAGCGTTATATGGACATAGGGATAAGTTGTTATCATTAGGAATAAGGTATCGATAAAAGCGTAATAAAAAAATGACAAGGCGTTTTGGGTCGAGATCTATTTGAACGCTGCATTGTTTATATGAGGAAACCTCTACAGTTCATCATCTCACCGGAGCTTAGGCCGAAGTGGTATGTCGAAATTGAACCGACCAAAACCGCATGTTGTTCCGTCAACAGTGATCCATTTGAAGAGACCCGAGTATACCCTAAGCAGTATCTGCCGAGAAGCCTCATAGACTTTGTCCATTTCTAGGTCAGTAGGTGACGATACTGTGGGGCTTGAATGCAGCACAGTACCATTTTAAAAGAGCTTCAATGGAGATAAAAATATTTGAATATTATATTTGAATACTAGCTTTTGACCGCGACTTCGCCTATAACATACATATAAAAGTAAGCCTATGTGCCTCCTCAAGAATCAAAGTATCTTAATGCCATTGAAATCGGTTCAGCGGTTTAAGCGTGAAGAGGTAACAGACAGACAAACACATTTCCGCATTTATAATATTAATATGGATGAAGCAGTGATTTTTCTGCTAAACTAAACTGCTGTCACAATGACTTATCGCTTTAGAATTTTTCGCAATGTTACAGCTATTTGTTGAGATTCTAGAAACGAAGTCACTAAGCAAAAAAGTCTAGATCACGTATCTGATTGAAGTTTAGGTTCCAATATATTTTTATTTATCCTCTTTCTTTTGTCGACAAGATGAGAATAGTTGGTGCTACTGCTCACCACGCAACAAAAACCAGTGTTTTTGTTGCGGTGAAACCTTAGCGGCCACTCAGGTGGTGGTTTGAGAATACCGCGGCAACAATGTACTCTGGCCGTAATTCGGTACTCTGCGAGCTCGAAATCGACCTTGGGCTGGCTGAGATTAACGATCAATTTAGGTAAACGTTGCGCAATAATTACTTGTATTTGATGCATTACGTTTTGAAATGGCAATTTTCTAATGCGAGCGGTTTCCGCAATCTGCATCGTGCGCATCGTATCTCTTAATACGTAGATACTTAATTTTATCTGTTTTTTTATGGCTCGAACATGTAGGTACATAGTACTCAATGATAATTACAGATTGTTATTTTTATCGATGATAGACAATACGAGTTTAAATTCGATATTTCATAGGATTACTTTTAGGAGCAGTGACCTGTTTCTTATACACATAGTCGTACCGTAACTAGATCGATACCAGAGGTGCTCCGTATAGGACGCAAATCCTGAAGGGCCGCAAAATTAACCAAATTATCGTCAAATAGATGTAAACGCCTCTTAATTTCATCAGTATACACACTGGTATGAAAAGTACATTCTTCTATGAAAATATTTCTGATAAAATTTTGTTTTTTACAAAAAACTAAACTCTAAATTATTAAAAATTCGGTTTAAGTCTTGGCAATAGATTTTTGTACAAAGCGCAATCGTGTTAGAAGCCCTTTTCGAAATTACACACGAGATCATATCAACGTATGTAGTATATAGGGCAATAAAATTGCACAATTTGAAGCATTTGACAAAAAAGACAATCGCAAACACATTAAACATCCGGTCGAGTTAAGTACAATTATCTTTGCCTCTAATACGTGTGTCATACATAACCCTTAGCTATGATATCTGCACGCTACTGTTTTCAGGGCTGAATTATTGTGTAAGTGACCCAGATTTACACAACATACGAAATTTAAATGACGTTGCTGTTGAAATCTTTAACTTCCATTAACTTTAATGTTATACGGGTAAAACATTAAATCGTTTGTCATTTGCCAAGCAGCTAAACACTGAAACAGGTAAGGCTCATAGAACTTCTGTTCGAATTAAAACAGCTTCTTTGCCCAGTTACAAGTGCTCTTCTTATCAATTTTTTGTGGAGTCACAAAATCGCTATCACCAAATATAGTAAAAATCTGCAGTCAAAATATTTGACATAAAAAACTGCTTGATTGCCCAACCAACATATGAATATATGTCATGTCCCTATTTCTTTGATCATTTTGTTTCAAGACCTGAAGTTTACCGTCCGTATATATTTAATGAGACTACCAGTAGGTACAATTAGACCGTCCTTTGTAGTAAATACCTAGCTCGTTGTGTTTTATAACCATGGAATAGTTCCAGTAACATTGACATTTCGTTTTATAGTACTGACTAGGTAACAAGGAAACATCACTTCAATTAATGTGGTCAATAGCATGATCTTGTGTACTTGGCAGACGGATGGGTGGTCGCAGACCCAATGTGTTCAAACATTGCAATTTACATAACATTATCAATATTGACAAATGTTCACAACTCTTTATGTATAATGTAGAAACACTGTGTAATGAGATAAAATAATAATATATATAAATATACTGCAGAACTTCCTAACTGTATAAAACCACTTCTGATGTAAATGTTTTTGGCATTTTGTCAATTTTTCTATTGTTTTAACTGATGGAAATCGTTGAATATAGGTTTCGTAACAGCCAGGTCGAAATCGTTCTCAAAAGAAATCTTGTAATGATTATTTAATGGATTCTATTGTGTAAAGGGACATGAAAATGTAAGAAAATTATTCAGCATACAGCAGCAGACATCGTTTGAAATTCAGTTCCCTTAAGAAATCGTAGCAGTTGAATAATTTTGAGCATTTTCAATGACCCATAATGTTTCTCTAGGTGAAGAAAGCCCGCACTGAACAGAAATGGTTCGAGCGCCTGTCCACCAAAGCACCGGTGGATGATAAAAAGTTTGACGTCCCTGCTCAGGTGTGATCACGGTATAGGGATCATAACTAACACCAGGGTGATTGGACAATCACAGACCCACTAACACGGCGTTGATGGTTACTAATATGATGATAATATAATTGAATAAATAAAGGGATGCTAACTCATTAAAGTGTCCAGTATCGCATATTTTCCCATGGCTATCATTTATCTAGGTATAATAAAACAAGGGAAAATCCAATTAGTTGAAACTGTTTTGTATCAGAAAGAATTAGTTTCAGTAGCGTATTGATAGCCAGAATCTTTGTGTACTGATTACTATAGAATCAGTGCTTGACGCCGACCGTCGCAAGTTAATCTCCCGCTAATATCAAGTACTAAAACCGTAACATCCAACGCATGAACACTGAGGGTGTATTTGTTACCATAGTTACCTAAAACAGGGAACAATACAAACGGGTAGCGTTCTTCTTCAGTTCTAGCGTACTTAAACGTAAAATATATTCAGGGAGAATTTACAATTCGTTTCTGTTCGCACAGACCTGTATTGAAGAGGCCCAATAGGACAAGAGACATCAACAGCAGTTGATGGCCCTGTCTTGTCATAAGATGGACAGTATGCGACCCTAGTACTCCTGCTCCTTCGCTTATTCTATCAGTTTTTCTAAATTTACATCTCCTGTTATGTTTAAGTATATTCCTAGGGAGGGTTGACGACAGGGAGAAAGTAGGCCATAACTAATATTTTGGCCATTTCTAAATTCAATCGTATGGTTACAAAAATATGGTTAAAATCCTCAAACACTAACCTACATCGATCTTGCTACAGCCCCAATGGTGATTCAAACCGATAGAATTAAAGTAGTCTTGTAGTTTAAATAATAACACGCGTAAATAATAGAATTTTGGTGATGGGTATATTCGTATGTCCATTTCAAAACGAATGATATGGGTACAAGGACGCGTTCATGTCACGCTTGAGAAAAACACGTTACACCAAAGTCTGTATATTTATGTTTAGAAAATAGTTACATATTGAGTGGTTACTGCTAGTTACTAACGGATGACAGTGTAATTGCACATTAAATTATAGCTGCTAACGTTTTTGAAAGAAAGAAGAGACGACCGACACACTAATTGTTATTATAATTTATGTATATCATCATTTAATTTAATGAATACCGAAAAGATAGTTTTTATTTACTGTGAGTCATATTCTTCATTTATATGTTTTTAATGCACTTGTTAAAGAAAATCTAGAACTGTACTGCGAGTACTTTATATAGACATATCATACTTTCCTTTTTATGTCTATCTATGTGGAGTTTAAAAGATATACGGTTTAGGAGATATATTCGTATATCGTTTTTGTATCAACTGAACCAAAAAACTATGAAGGAGTGAATGAATCAAATCAGAAATAGCTCCGTTCTTAAACTAACAAAAAATTATTTAAATCGTACAACTAACGCGGAAGATAATTTAGTTAAAAAACGTAATTAGGTTTCCGAACGAAATTGAAATCGGGTTTTAACATTTAATCTGATCACATGAAAATCTGACACAATAACAACCCTGGAATATCTGAACGATCTGTTCTTCAGGACCCCAAAAACTTCTATCGTCACCATCCAGTAGATTGCACAAGTAGATATCCTGTATTCTAAGATGCCTTAAAATCTGGGAACTATGCATAATACTGCACTTCATTTGTCATGTTTATGGTACTCACGACTACCTAAGACACTTATTCCTACATAGAAGAAGAAAGTATTCTAACCCGCTTTTAGATTTAAGCATTTTTACCATCTATTGCGCTTTTATGGGTCCCTGGTTCGTTTTTCTATACCAATATTGTAGTAGATATTAATATATTTTCTTTGTGTTTAGGTCGTAAAAGTATGGCCGGAGCGTGGTGGTGTGCAAGTGTACAACCCTAAGGGACAAGACAAACTTTTCACATACGATGCTGCTTACGACTGCACAGCAGATACACAGACGATCTACGATGAAATGGTGAGTTGGAAACATGTTCTGATATACAAATACTGCCAATATTACAGAACTAGTTGCGCCGATCAATTCTGTCTGCATCTCTTAAAAGGAATGAATTAAACTTTCTTGGTTAATGGGCTATCGATAACTAAAAGATTTTTAATATGAGAGACCTTAGATTAAACAAACAAACTAACTCTTTAGTATATATTTACGAACTGAATTTTACCTCACACGAGCCATGCATGTAGTTCTCTCGTCTATTTGATTGAAAGTATGTCTTCGCCAATCGTTGGAAGACAGAGTCATTTTGTCCTGTGTGCTTACGATTGATGCTTAGCTTGTGTCTCCGAAAGAGGTACCAAGATGAAAGCTGTGCTATGACAAACGGAAAAGAATAAAAAAATATCTATTGTCCGGGGTTTCATTCGTTTAAAAGTATTTGTTTAATTTTTTTCTGGATGAAAGTTAGCTACATTTCTATTTACAGTAGTACCTGGCAATGACAAATATGCAATGACATACAACATAAATTGATTTTTATATAAGTATTTGATAGTAGTTAGCAATGAGCGAAGATTGCGCAGTTATTTCAAACAATATCATCATCACATCAACAGCCTTTAATAGTCCACTGATGGACATAAGCCTCTCCTTAGAAAGGAGGTTTTGGCCCACTATACCACGCTGGCCAGACGGGTTGGTATAGGGTTTGTGTCAAGTTTTCCTTCTCTCTGCAGTGCTGGTGTTCTGCGTAGTTTTTTCCCTTAGTCGGTTCTTACGACACCCACGGGATGAATAGGGGTGGTGACACTCTGGATTCTTAATCCGTCACCACACGGAATACGGAATACAAATAATATAGTTAAAATGAAAAAAAAAAACAGTATTTTAAGTTTGACCAGTTTAAGGTTAAAGTCAAGTTTAAGGTGTACATTAATCATATAATAAGTGGTATTGATGATAAACGCTGGTCACTCGTAGCTACTCCACCATACGCAAACACGTAAAACTTGTCGGTACTGGGTGGAAAGCTACCAGATGTCGAATAAAGACCGCACTCTGACTGTCAGGGTAAATGTCTATTTCAAATGTATTTTTAAAACCTAGGTAAATTCCTAGCTTAGTTTTTTTTAGCTTTTTGGCAGATTCGTCTGTATCTTATACTGACGACAAAATGAATGTAGTTGTAGAGACATAAAAAATAATAATTATAATATTGTTACCGACTTGGTATTTTTTTAATGTTCATCATATTTCTGTTGTTTGGTTTTGTTACCCTTTTTCGAATAAGCTCGTCATCTTCATGTACTTTCGTGCAAATCAATACTAAATACGTATGTATAAATAGGTGTATTTTTATTGAATAATGGCTTAAGAAGTGACTAAGAAGACGGAGATTACACGACATCCAAAATAAACTATATTCTTAAACGTCCAGAATTACAATTGTCTGAAAAAAATACATACAAGCAGTACATTACCGCCTTTATGTATTTTTTCAGACAGTCATAATCCATAGTTTGGCAACTCGAATCAAAATGATACCGATAACGCGTACATATTAAACTGTGTAAACGGTATAATTTAAAGTAATACGTATTAAGAGAAATAGTTACTGAAACGATTGAATTCTTACTGTATAATTCTAATCTGATCTACTATAAGCATTCACTTCAAAGAGTACAAGCCAGTTCTTCAAAGAAAATATCGCTTTATAGTCCAAACATAGCTCAGTTGTCGTCTGGTCTTCATTACACTATCGCCATGATCTAACAATACTTGACCGGCACCGTCTAAACATTCTGACCCACATTCGAACCCACGGTCAAGGTGAGGGTTACGCATAACGCTTTTTGTAGATATTTATATTTTATTGTTAACCTCTCCCCACTAGTTGTCTTGCATTTACAGTCACTGCTCAACACCTGAGGGTTTAGCGTGATGTTACATAGCCATAGAAATATTCCATAGAATAGAAGTCTGACTGAGAATTTCAGTAATCACGGACTCAATTGTAGTACACCAAGGACAAAGTAACACAAGTTATGACCTAGATTTCGTCTGTAAATGTAATTTATCGCTGTGTAATGTGTATGAGTAATCGCGTTTTTGTGTATTGTTAATAAATTTTAGATACCTTGATGAAATATAGCGAACATAGTTTAAATACGGAAATGAGGTTTTTAGGCGGTTCCGAACATTGCAAAGTATCTTAGCAACTTCCAGCAGTAGCTTAATATTGGTGAACTTGTAAAATGGTAATTCAGTGACGTATTATATTTAAATATTCTCGACAGCTAAGAGTGGCTCATAAATTTACATTGATATAAAGCTATTCATAAAATTTGATAGCTTCTTGACTGCCATCACTCAATGACGTATAGTATAGCTATTTTCGTCTTCTCAACTTTATTAGCTTTCGTCGCTATGAGATAAGTTTATTATATGCTGGGGTGGCAAAGGAGCAGATGGTTCACGTAATGGTTAGTGGTTACCACCACCCATGGACAGTTGCAACTTAATAGTCACAAGTGTGTCACGGCCTTTGAGTCTTCCATAGAATTAGGGCGGCTGGGTCTTCGGTGAAATGAACGAAGGAATACATCGGTTTTCTGTGAGGGCATGGTTTTACTCCGGTAGAGCCTACCCATCATGCGCCGAGGCTTGGCTCTTATTATTTTTTTTTCATTTACCTTTTAGTAGGTTAAACATCTATAGGACTTAAAATAGGTGTAGGAGTGACGGTCGCATCCTTTTTTCAAACTTTTATGCATCGGTTAGTATCAGTAGGTTTTAATTGTAAAATGGCATTTTCTAATCTCGCTTTGCAGATAATATTGGACGATAAATGATACGAATGTAGAACGAGATTATCTGTGACGTTAAAACATAAACAAAAATTGTTCACAAATATCACATCACATGCGGTGATGTCGCTTCGGAAGCGAATTCAGCGTTGTATAATAATATCGTATGAATATCAGGAGAAATCAGGAAACATACGGCCCAGTGCGCATCGGCGCGGGCGCATTCCCTCGCCGCCGCGGTATTACGCACGCGCAGCAGTTTTGCTGCCAAAAATATTTTATCGACTCATATCATACACGTAGTGTATATGATGCATGCGACATTTCGCATGTGACAACTATCCGTTACTATCACATCTCTATCTTACAGAAAAAATAATAACTTTACACATCTCACACACGGCAGTCTGATCCCAAACTTGGCAGAGCTTATACTCGTACTATGGTAACCAGACTACCTATAAAAATACCTAAATATACTAAACTAGCTGTAGTCAATGTAGGCTTTGTCAGTTTTTTATGGCGTAGGGGGCTAACGAGACTTAACAGACCAGACCTGCAATTCAAGAGATACATACAATTGGCTTACCCCGGAAGCAGCTGAATTTCATGTCCAAATGTGTTAAGCATTTGGTTAATATTTGGTGCCTTAAGAATAAATAAATTCCGAAAACGAGTCCTTTTTCAAGTATTAACCGTTTTACGAGTAGGTCTATGAAAATAACTATTCTCGTCTTAATAGTTTTAGTATTTAACAGTGACGTGGGTTTAGGAGAAACCATCTGTAGAGTATTCGTTTGGGATCTTCACGTGTTGAGATCCCGTTCAGAGGAGACCTTTTCTAATTTAAACTGCTAAATTTCTATCATGTTAACTCTCGAAATGATTCTCTAAATCGCTTACTGTAAAACTCTGCTTTTCGTAAAAGTAGTTTAAATATGAATGTCAAACGACAGTCGGTCTTAAAATATTATCCTAATCGCTTAATGGCGTGCTGTCTAAATTGATACGATTGTTCTTTGTAAACGGTGGCGACAACGAACTGTTCAGTGTGGGAGTACTCAGGGTTTTCACCTTTGCGACTCTGGGCTGTTACAGAATGATGTGGTCATACTTTGGGGTCGTATATAATAATAAACTTAATTTCATACACCTTTGTTCCATAGTATGTTAGTAACATTAACTTATTTTCTAGTGTTAATAGGTTAATAGGCCCAATATAGGGCCCTGTAAATAACGCCATGCGCTAACAGTTTTAGGTAAAATTAAGATTTTTTTTATAAAAAAATCTCATAATAGTGACGTATTAATATTTCATTAATATTTAAAATTGACTGATAATGCAAATGCTCTGTGGAAAAGGGCCGACATGAATAGAACTGTGGGTATTTAATATTATGTCCACATTTTTTTGAAATTTCTGCATAAAACAAATAAATCGGCACAACATATAAAGTGGAGCTGAAAATTAAATTTTTCGGCCTCAAATAAATTATTTAGAAATTTGACCACACTATTCTGTATCACTTGTATATGACCGATCGTTATATAGACAAAAAACATAAATACACTCAAAATACATATTTTTTTGCTAGCGAATAATTGATATAGGCATCCTGCAATATAATGTTTTATGGGCCCATTCTTCGAGCAGAAAATTTATCCTTTTCTTTATAAATAATCTCTATCATTAATAAAGTAGTACAGTTAAGGGTTTCAATCCTCATTTGTAATCAAACTAGTCGAGGTGCAAAATTGTGCAAATCCAAAATCCTCGTTAGAGCTGTCATCGCCTTCAGACAGCTAAACGAGCAGGCGTGATGACGTATGTATTCACTCCGGATGCAAATTTACCACTTTGGTAATTGGTCGTCGTGTGCGACTGATTAATGTGAGCCAGCTGATCCGTCCGCCAGTTTGGCACGGGGAATTAGACATACCGTCTCCTTGATCTTGACTTTGTAACAATTACACTTGTACTAATGTATGTGTTATAATGACGCTCTTTGAGAGCGCTGGTACTCTTCTGTGTGTTAGTGATCATTTGTTAATTTATATCTTATATATTTCGCATAATGAATCGTCAACAATCTGATCATCCGTCTGGTGTCCAACGAACTCAAGGCCTAAGCCGAACTAAATGCAAGGCCGAATTGAATACATCCCACATTTTGCACTCTACATAATAATAGTAATATAAAATATTCTACC